ACCGACTGTGTGACGTGAAATTATGAGAATATCACCCTCCATCTCGAGAAATCTGACTATTATACATATAGCGTTAAGAGCTTAATTAAATAATCTGCCACAAATAAGGTACCGGATCAGAGTAACATTAAGTAGTCACGCGGCATATCAAATGTATCATATATCTCCTTATCTGAGTCATGCTGAGCCGTATCTGGCCGTGAACACTCAGTGTCACACTTGTATGCAGAGTATTATTTTAAGCACATTAAGTTGAAGGAAACATCGAGGACAAATGTAAATTAAAGTAGATCCACTCGTGTCTTAGACGGGGCAGTGGATATCATAAAAACCTGTTAATGTACGCATTAACCTTTTTTCTTTTACCAGCTGTATTCACTTGCAGGTGCAACTATGTGGCTTTTATCCTGGATAAAGTGGTTTACGTCAGATGTTTAAAGTTTTAATTTCTTCATATATTTGTCTAAATATTATAGTTGACTTATCATTCCTATCCCCTGTGTGCCTTGACTGCGCTGCGCTGTCAGTACGCTTCTCCATGTTTGTGATTGGTCGAATGCTCCAAATACCACCCCTTTCATGTGAACGCGCACCTAACTAGATAGGGCACGGCTGGCTTGAGCGATCCACTTGATAACCCGCGTCGTAGGACCGTTTAGCGAGAGCGCGTATGTTTTGGATTAGGCCAACCGGCTAACTCAAACATATCCAGGTTAGGTTGAACCAGCTTCGTAGTACAGGCCTCTGATGTGATGTTGGCTACAATTAAAACAAAACATGTTTAAAAACAGGACTGCAGGTGACTTTTCTCTACTGTAAATTCACAACATGACTTATTTGACCACTTCATTTAAACATCTTTACAATGTAAACAATGTTTCTCACCTGTTTTGATCACCACGAGGTGCAGAGAGTCGTCCCTGATGTAGGACACAGCAGCGATATCATGGATGGGCACTCTCAGGATGATGTCTTCTCCGTCGCGCCGGACTAGCTTTATGTTGTACGCCGACAAGCTCACCACGGCGTCCTGCTCCGATGTCAGCTGGCCCACCAACTGATGGGACTTCTGAGAATCACAGAGGCGCGAGCAGAGGGTAATTATCCCTGACATGATGGAAATGATAAATGCCATATCTGACAACTTTAATATGCATTCTGTCTTTGCATGAACAGAACTAATCTATTAAAAAGGAGTTCAATCTAAGACACAAAACTATTTATTTTGAAATTAGCAACCAACAAGTGAACGAAGAAGTGAAATCCTCTTTCTCAGAGACTAACCCTTGCCGTGTCAATGAGCTGCAGCACTTCTGTGCGACTTGATGGGTTCAAGTATCCTGGAACTGATGATAGCTGCCCCAAGTACTGGAAAAGAAAGAACAGTCACAAACTTATTGCCATAGCATTGCTTGAGTGAATAGTGTTTCAACATGTATTTGTATGAGGTAAGGGAGTTTATATCTCTGCTAGTCACTCACTTTGACTTCCTTCTCAATGTAGTCATTAAGCAGGATGTCAGGGTCTATACGGTGGTCGGGTTGAGAGAGTGAGAAGGTGTGGAGTGCTCTGCGCTCGGTGGCCTTCTCCTGGGCCTTCTTGTCTCTCCCCTTCTCTCCTTTCAGAAAGACTCTCTTGAACGGAGACACGATACCAGGCTGGTGAATAAAGACAAAGAAAGCAGGGTGAGACGTATTAGATGATTCTCACATGCTGCTTTCCAAAATGCAGAAGGAAATGCGACTCAATATGTGTGGATATGTAGCATTTCACACTCTCTAAATGATAAACTATTGCCATAATCTGTTTCTATGCAACAGTATGTTATAAATAATACAGGACTATTCATATCCACTACCTAGATATAATGTACATGCGATGGGCTACGCAATTGAAGCTAAAAGTGTAACGTCTGTCAGAAAAACGTCGGTTGAGTGTGGTTCTTTAAAGCCTTGTAATTTATGCTGAGCCTGCTTCCCGTGGCGGAACGGTTGCTGAGAAGTAAGACACAGCAGATGCAAAGCCTGCCCTGTTATCCAATACATGTTACTCAAATGTCAACAGAAGCATGTGCACAAGAAAGCTTTGCAAAAACTGGAGGTGTTTGCTGTGGAACTTAACATTTCCTCATCACAAATGAGTCACAAAAGAATGAATTTTCTTTAAGATATTTCTGAATATACCACTTAAAAAGTCTTCATTGCTTTACTTTTAAATGTAATGTCCTGTATCAACTGGTAACACTGCAGCACTGTTTAGGAGCTCAGTTAAGTGTGCTGCAAATGCGATTAAATAAAACCTTGATAGAGTTTGTCCATTGCATTATGCCTAATACAATACACCTTTCTAGATTCAAAGCATTACAAAGCCTACCTCGGTCTCCATGAACCCTCTCGCTAGAAGGGTCGCCTAACGCCAAACACACTGCCTGGCCACAGATGCTGCTACGCTCGCCGTCTGCACTAGTCACCTGTTGCCTCCCCTCACACAGTGACAGCTGCCAACTGGTGACAGACACACAGGATCAAACGTGATGAGGGGCGCGACCCGTCGCAGAGGAAAGGAAGTGTGTCAGCCTCTGGTTTCAGGCACAAGAGCAGGAAGCAGACTAGCCACAACTTCCTGTGATGACACGCACGCGTATATGAATATTGAAGCACTAACTGAACACACTTTGTTTTATTTTCACTTAATTATGGACAAAAGAACATGTATAGTGATAATCACTAACTCCAGGATTGTATTGTGATGTGATGATTGCTGCCTTTGTGCATCACTTACTCAGGAGTGTTACTGGAGGTCTATATACAAACATCGATGCTAACCACACGTCACATTTGCAAGGCTGTTTACACTGCAGATTCAATAATACCACAAATGCAGACAATCTGATGAAGTTCGAGCCAAATTGTGGCAAACCATTGAACAACACAACCTACAACTGGTGCATTATTTATAAGTACGTTGCTCGTGAAGATACGTACATTAACATTTAATAGCTTGTCCCTGGGAAATGGGAGACAAGAGCCACAGTAGTTGACCCAAGGGAATTACTTTAAAATAATGAAATGCCTTTTCTTGAATAAAGTCTGTTTAGTAAGAAACATACGAGAGGATGATTTGTGGCTTACTTTTGCAGCCAGGATTTTAAAAAAAAGTTCAGGTGGACTTGAGCAATTTAAATCCCATTTGTACCCAATATGCCCGACATGCATGTTTAGTTTTCTTTGAGGCATTGTGACTGCCTTTCCAGATGTAAGAAGCAGCATGGTTGTATATGCCCATTCATTTTGATCAGTTTTTAACTACTTCTGCTGGTCTGAAAGCAAGCTAATACAATATATATGAAAGAGTAGCTAATCATACCCTTACACTTTCCAGATACCTCTGACAGTTTACAGAGTTTATATATTTAGCAAAGTGAAAGTGACACTATCAGGACATCACATGAAGGGGTCTGAGCTTTCACTTGTGTCATATTTTAATTAGGGATGCACCGAATATTCGGCCGCCGAAAATTATCGGCCGAAAATGGTTAAAAAGGCCCTTTCGGCTTTCGGCCGAAAGGGTTCTTGCACCGAAAAAATATCACCGAATGTCAGAGAACAGGGTTACGTTGGTAAGCTAACGTGTTGTTGTGATGACGTAATCAAAACGCGGCGACAAGCACGGCGCGTGACCATGCTCGCGGCTGGCTCACAGCCAACATGTCTGCCGCTTGGAGATATTTAAAAATATCATAGAAAGAGGCGCGGATTGCGATTTGTAAAACGTGTTCAGCTGACATTTCTCGAGGGGGTGTAACTGCAAAGACTTTCACCACTTCGGGATTACTCCACCACTTGAAATCAAAACACCCGGACAAATATGCGGAGTAAGATCAAATCACAAGCAGTGACAGCGAGAGACTGTTCAGCGCTGCCTCTCATGTGCTTGATGAGAAGAGGAACAGACTTATGGCTGATAAAGCAGAGAAGCTA